TCTTCCCAGTCTGTTCTTGCATAACAACATGTCTCATGCTACACCTATATCTGTAACTTATTTTTTAATTTATTATGGGAAACATAATAAGTGCTTGCATACTAAACCCATCAAAAATGTTGGCATTTTCCTTCCACTCTAGAATTAAATTTGTCCACTTCTGTGACATGTGGCTTTCCTGGCATGTGATTCTTTGGCGTAATTTATCAAATAAAATTTGCAATGGAAATTTACATGATCATAAGGTAGACACAATTCCTATGGAGCATATTCCTTGCTAGGTGGAGAAGGAATTCCCCAATGCATGCTCTCATACAGAGCCAGTTGGTGTAGTGGTTAAGGCTACAGACTGGAAACTGGAAGGTTTTGAGTTCTAATCCTATCTTAGGCACAAAGCCTAATAAGTGACTTTGGGCTAGTCACTTCTCCCAGCCCTAGGAAAGAAGCAGTGGCAAACTACTTCTGAAACCTGTGCCAAGAAAACTGCAAGGACAAGTCCAGGCAGTTGTCAGAAGTCAACATTGACTTGAGGGTGCAAGCTTGCATGCACATACATACAGATATACTCTTTTTCTATTGCCTATAGTGATTTATGATTTTCAGGTACGAGGAGTTTAAAATTCCACGTTGCAGAAATGATGGCTCTGTGTTCATGTATACACGGCTGAAATATGTTCATGATTCTGGACATAAAAGACCATTTTGCTGGATGTTCACTGACTTTATTATAGTTCCGACTGTCTCCTTGAATATGTCACCAATCCTGAAACTGACTATTTTGGGAAAAGAATCTCTTAAATATGCTTGTTTATTTGTTTTTCTTAACAGGCAAACAGATGACATTGCTTCCTTTGACTCACTTTAGTCAAGAGTGGAACAAATCTTTTTGTTCCTTGTAAATCCTTGGTTATGCTTCCAAAAATGACTTCTGAGTCCTCAACACTTCATATGCAGACTGTAATGGGAATGTTTGCAATGTAATGGTTCCATTTGCACCGCCCAGCTTCATATCAGACAGTTGAAGAACCTGATTTCTTGAATCTGGTGTTAACCATCAAAGGTGAATGAACACATTTTTCTTTACCAACTACTGGTTGGTTTCCTTTATCTCTGAAGATTTCCTACCAGTTGGCATTCATTTTAAAGTTAAAAATAATGTTTGTAAATTATCAATTCTGTTTTTGCTTTTGAAATCAAATGCAGCATCTCAATGTTTTATAAATGATATTTAATATTTAGGATATTAATGTCGAGTATATCTGGGCTGCTGGATAGCCCAATTTTTTAAAGCGAGAAAGAACCACATGAATATTTTGATGTAAGATGTGAAAGATTTTTTTCTTATGAATATTGCTATGCATCTTTTGTATTCAGGTATTCATTATTTTTATTCGCCCATAGGTGTTAATGATTCTGAAACTATATAATTTCAATATATGTCTCTTTCAAAATGTGTGGATAGATTCAAGATCAGTTTAGTCTAGAAAACAGAAATACTAATTTCTAGGTACATATCTTTGATGCAGAATGAACAAAATAAGTATTCTAAAACGTCAATAATTCTGCTTCTGCTGTGGTAGCTGGATATGTGCATTACATACTGATTTGAATCTGTCAGTTCTACCTCATTTTGTAAAACAGTGACAAAATTGGGATGGGTCAGGGAAAAGTCTTGGTCTGGTTTTTTTTCTTTAAAAATCCTGTTTATCATTTTGATAATGAAAGCAGAAGCAAAGTTTTTAAATATAAAAAATTGATTAATATAACCACCAATCATTGGCATGTTAGGAGTGTGTCAAATTAAGAAAGACTGCTATTGCAGCAGTAAAATTTTATTTGGATGTAATGAATTATGCTGCTATTGAAATGCACTTTTTAAAATATATCTGTTGGTGGGAAAATTCACTTCAGGTTTTGGAAGTGCAATACTTTTGTAAGTAAAGTGAAGTGCCATTGAAATGGTTTTGAAAACATTAAATGTATTGCAATATATTGAAATCAACATAAATTATGCATAATTATTATTGATCACAATTTCAGTTAATAAATATTTGGATTTTTTAAGTTTCAAGAATGAAACACACCATTCTTTGTCTAATCTGCGAAGAACTTGAAAAATAAATGTTTTATACAGTATTGTTTTTGTAGTTTCCTTCATTCTTGCTTGCTTGCCTCTTTCTTGTTTGCTCCTTCCTTCCTTCCTTCCTTCCTTCCTTCCTTCCTTCCTTCCTTCCTTCCTTCCTTCCTTCCTTCCTTCCTTCCTTCCTTCCTTCCTTCTTGGTTTTCATCAGATGTAGTGCAGATACTCCCTGAAATGACTGAGAACTGGGGCAGGGAGTGTGAATAAAGATGAATAAAGAAAATATATGCATAAAGATTTCAGCAGATTGTGCATTTTAAATGGTGTTAACAGAAGAGGGGGCAAAAATATGCTTCATCCCAGAAGATTTGTCAGTTCTGTTCCGACATCAGTGATGACTTGCTGACAAGTGATGACTATACGTGAAGTATACGTGAAGTATTAATGCTATTTTACAATGCCTTGGTAAGACCACACTTGGAATACTGCATCCAGTTTTGGTCACCACGATGTAAAAAAGATGTTGAGACTCTAGTAAGAGTACAGAGAAGAGCAACAAAGATGATTAGGGGACTGGAGGCTAAAATATATAAGGAACGGTTGCTGGAATTGGGTATGTCTAGTTTAATGAAGAGAAGGACAACGGGGGACATGATAGCAGTGTTCCAATATCTCAGAGGCTGCCACAAAGAAGAGGGAGTCAAGCTATTTTCCAAAGCGACTGAAGGCAGGACAAGAAGCAACGGATGGAAACTGATCAAGGAGAGAAGCAACCTAGAACTAAGGAGAAACTTCCTGACAGTTAGAACAATTAACCAATGGAACAACTTCCTGACAGTTAGAACAATTAACCAATGGAACAACCTGCCTCCAGAAGCGGTGAATGCTCCAACACTGGAAGTTTTTAAGAAGAGACTGGACAGCCATTTGTCCGAAATGGTGTAGGGTTTCATTCCTGAGCAGGGGGTTGGACTCGATGACCTCCAAGGTCCCTTCCAACTTTATTATTATTATTATTATTATTGTTATTGTTATTGTTATTGTTGTTGTTGTTGTTACTACTATTTTTTTTAATTATTATTATTGTTATTATTATTATTATTATTATTATTATTATTATTATTATTATTATTATACTGTTTCCAGTATAAAGATCCAAGGATAGGGTGGTCTTGCCTCCTATATTTCCATTGGCAAGTTATGCTTGCCCAAACATGAGAATAGGAGGGGAGACTCCAGACAAGGTTTATAGAATTGAGCTTTTTCTGATCTTCAATCACAGCAATTGCTGTCAGTGCCAAATTCTTTTCCATTCCAAGAGCTCTCAGTGAATCAGTGAGCTGGATCTTTGCTTCCTACAGGTCGTATAAAGTTTTCTGCTTTTTGTCTGGACAAAAGTGATGGTCTCTCTTCGGTTCAAATAACATGTTTCAGCATAGTGCTTAAAAATGTTTTTAAACCAAAAACAAAGCCTAGATTAACATTACTGAAAATTTGATATGTGTGATACACATACACATGCAAATGCACATATAATATATCAATAGGCTTTTGTGGGTGAGAGGCACTTTGGATTTCAACTTTTGTGAAACTCTTCCCAATCAGTAAGGCTACTAGTGATGCTACCTGAGATGTCATGGGAGGTTGATCTTTAACATATATGAAGGGAACCTGGGTAAGAAAACTTCTAGAGGGTTCAAAGCCCTTCACAAACTATTATTTCTAGCTATTCTTATATATTCTTATACTGGAGGGATTATCTTTTTCCAAGAGTCTCTTACCTGTTCAACCAGAGTGGGCATGTTGCAGATCCCATCAGCCAAAGAGTGTCAGCTGGCAGGGACCAGAAGACAAGCTTTTTCCTCAGTGGCCCCTGCTCTATGGAATATCCTCCCATGGGAAATTAGAATGGCCCAATCTTGTTAGCTTTTCATAAGGCCTTAAAAACCTGGCTATGTTCCCAGGCTTGGAGTGCTGAACGTAAAAGCTCCCTGTCTCCTGGCCGTATTGCTAACTGGCCAATACCTTGCTCCTGTATACTGTATATTTAATCTGAATGTTTTTATTTCTTGTTTTTGTTTTAAAATGTTTTAGCAATTTTAATCTCTCTCATCTATCTAATCATCTATATTGATTATAATTACAATTAAAATAATTGTAAGCCATCCAGAGTTATTGACTGAAAAGGGAGACTATACAAAATGAATGAGTAGAATGAATGAATGAATGAAAATTTGAAACTTCTTGCTATTCTCGTTTAAAAAAACTCCGAGTACGATTTATACTTGATGCTCAGATAAACAAGTTTTAAAAATAGATATGGTAGTAGTAAAGTAGGGTAAAAATTATATCAAACCAGAAAGCACAATAAAGACGGTGTCCTTTATTTTTTCATTGAATGCTCTTTGACCTTCTGCCTTAAAGATAAAAACATCTTAATTACCTAGGGAGGATGTTCTGTGACTCTAGAGCTTCATTAAAGAACCGTCCTCTCCCTGGTTGTCACTTAAAAATTCCCTTGGTGCCATTTGCTCAGTCAGTGTTGTTATTCTCAGGTTGCAGATTTGGACAGGGTGGGATGGTTGAGAGGAAGTGGGTTATTTAAGGCTAATTACAAGGCAGCTGCACTGCTTCTAGCCACTGTGCAGCTCCAATTTACACCACAAGCCCTGTCAAGTCCACAAACTCATACTGGCCACAAAATTTGCAATTCCTGTATCTGTTTTGATTACATTCCTCTTTTGCTTGAACACGTGTTGGGTTGAAAGTAAGGTATGTATTTCCTACTCTCCAACTTCCCCATATTCAGCTGGGAGATCTGAAGGACAGGTGTGCTTATTCCCATTCAAGCAAGCAGTGTTGGTCAGAAGGCTGGCTAGGTAGGGGAACCCAGTGTGAAGAAGCCAATGTCCACACAGGATTGAGGAAAGACAAAGCTTTATTTCTCTACAGAAGCAGAAGAGGGGGATGCCTGTGGGTTTCACACCCTAGGAGCATGCAGAAATCAGGCACAGCTATTTTTATACAATTTACTACAGGAAACAAAGAATTGCTGACTGGTTACAAAGTTACATGACAGTTACACGTGCATATAAAGCATACAAACCATCTCATTATACCATTAATTCTACTTTATTGTCATATAGATTGACTACCTCTGGCTGTGTTTTTACTATGCTAATGATAAACTATATTCACCAGTGGTTCTCAACCTTTTCTTCACTACAAGCCCCCTTTTGTGGCCATGGACCCCCAAGACTTAAGATTTAAATCATAATATTTTTCAAGACTCTGCAGACTCCCCCCCCCCCGAGGATCCGTGGACCACAGGTTGAGAACCACTGATACACAGTACACTCTAACTGGCAGACTGTTCGGGATTGCAAAGCAAATTCTCCACTTTTTCAACATAACTGTATTTTATTTTTGTACTCCAAATGTAACCTTAAATGACATGTACAGGTTTTATTTTTCACTGGAATAAACACATTTTTCATGTAAGAAATTGTTTAATTTCAGATAATATCTTTGGTGGAAGTAAGTTGTAGATCTTACTGGGATGCTCATTAGAATAACTGAATTCAAATTACAAAGAAGATTGATCTGGAATGTTCATATTATGTTTCTAACATCTCTCAGATGTAATGTCAATCTGTGACTTTGTCTTTGAATTCTGTTTAATGTTTTGTCTTGTGTGGATTTTCATTACCAATCTGAATACAGTAATGAAGTTTAAATTTTGTTACATACAGTAAGTTGTTGCAATAATGAGATATCAAAAGTACAAAGCAGTACTAGAGCTAGGGTAACATTATACAACACAAGCAACCTGAAGAGGGCACTGAAACCATTGAGATTTTTCTTATTTTTGCAACCTACAGTATTGCACTGAAAAAAGACAAAAGTCATTTCTTTGTACTTTTCTTTTTTCTTATTTTTGTTCCTTCTATATTTTGATTTTGTAATGAAACTTAATAAAATTTAGTAAATAGAAATAATTATATTGTTGCTGATCTGCTAATCAAATGTTACTTAAACTCCTATGCATGAGTACTGATCCATTGAAGTCAATAGGATTCTTCAGAGCAGCAAGTAGAGAACTGTAGATTCTATTTCACCTGAACCCTGTTGATCTGTTTAGCCTACATTTAAAAAGGTTAAATAAGTCATACTTTGGTCCAGCTGTCCTGATTTAACTTTTTTCAATACTTTTGGCCTGGATGATTGTTTTCATTGACACTTGGCCTACATATTTACTTCCCAGGCTAAAAAAATTAGATCCTGAAGATTAAGAAGAAAATGTAATAATGTACTGTACTTTCATTTAGAAATCAGACTATGCATTGTGATAGAGAACGCAACCTTGTGGGTATATATCTACTATGAAGAAATGAAAACATATGGCCCTTCTCCACTTGCATCCTACCACAATACATGCATGCCTCAACAGTGTGCTTTCCCCTCATGACATTGGCTTCATTTAGTCCCAAGGCCATGAGTGAGTCAGTGTTAAGACATTCTTAGCTATACCAGTGTTAAAAGTAGCATTTTCTCCTAGGGTGCATAACAGGTTATGTTTCACCAGTCATCATATAAGAGATGAGTAGTGGCAGACTGTACCACAGAAGTGCTAACTGCCCTTTCAGCTAATAGACACACCAACTTCCCTTCAGTCTCAGGTCAACATTATCTGTTGCCTTCTACTCGGTCCCTAAAACAGTAGAACACAGTGGCTCATGCAATAATCCATTTTTCAGAATGTGAAAAACGTGAAATGACATAATGGTTAACTAGCAGAAGAAATAATTTAAATGGTTGGGTTAATAGTTTATTTATTTAAACAACTTATATGGCCCTCTGCCTTACATAGTGATCCTAGGTGGCTCACCATAAAGCAGAATAAAATGAAAAGAACCCTTTTCACTAGACACCACATCAACCTCCTTGCTTAACCCTAACCCAATGCTTGGGAAAGAGCCAGATCTTCACGGCCTTCAGGAACGCTAAAAGAGTGGGGCCCTTTGAATTTGAAGTGGGAGGCTGTTCCAAAGTTGAACGATGGAAGCAATACCCTTCCCCACCCCACCTCTGTATCTCCTCCCATTTACATGGAGAACCTGGCCAATATTTGTTGCCTATATAAAGAAAAAGGATGAGAACCCCTAAATAGTTTTATGATTTGAGTTCTCTCTCTTTTAATCTTTCTTCAGCTTGGGTTACAATACAATGTATAGACTACACACAAAAAGGAGTGTAAAAATAATGGGAGTGGCCTGAAGATAGATTTATTCCTTACCTCCTACAACCTTGGAACTGGGAGAAGGAGGTTCTTTCTGCTGTTTTGAAGATAAAGGCAAGAATAGGGGTTTGGAACTGGGGACAGCAGACTTTATGCTAGTATAGTTGTAGCGGATGGACAGACAGCATTTTGACTCAATAGTAGGAAAAGGTCCACAGTAACAGTGATTTATATTGTGCATGTAAAGTGGCAAATACAAATTCTAATTCTCTTTACTTTTCTTTGCCAATTGTGGTTCTAAATGCACTATTTAAGTTGGGCAACATCACTGAATAATTTTACAAATGTTTAAACATAAGTTACAAATACCCTTAATGTACTAATCTAACAGAAGCAGAGCTGCTACCTGAAGTTTTTATACAGAAATATTAGCCGTCCTATTTAAATAAAGAATTGTTTCAAAAGTCGTCGAGCTTTATGAAGTCGCCCGATCCTTTCGTTTAAAGAATTCCTTATGTTGACAACATCCTTTCCCTCATGAAAGAGAATTTCCAGCTGATCTCCGCTTTGCAAAACCTGCATCATTTCATTCTGTAACCTCTCAGCAAAATCCCTGAACACGTATAACTGTATGATCATAGGAATCTGAGTACCAAGCCGGACTTTTACACTCTGAAAGCAAAGTTAAGGGAAAAGAAAATTATACCAGGATAATATAAATGGCTGGAGACATAATCTCTCTCTACCACTGTGTTAAGGTTTGTACTAAAGCCTTGTCCCCTGTGAATTTGTACCCCATTACGAAATGAAAATCAAGCTGTTTCTGTTGAGAGATGCCTACTACCACCACCACCACCACCACCCTGGCAGAAGATACAGATAGTCCTCAATTTACAACCATTTGTTTAATGACCATTCAAAGTTACAACGGCACTGAAAAAATTCTCACATAACCAACCCAGCATCCCCATAGTCACGTGATCAAAATTTAGGTGCTTGGCAATTAGCATGTATTTACAACAATTGTAATGTCCTGGGGTCATGTAATCACCATTTGTGACGTTCCCAGCTAGCTTTTGGCAAGCAAAGTCTATAGGGGAAACCAAATTCGCGTACCGACTGCATGATTCACTTAACAACTAAAGTGGTTCGCATAACAATCATGGCAAACAAGATCCTAAAACTGAGTGTGAGTCACTTAACAACTGCCTCACTTAACAGAAATTGTGGTCACAGTTGTGGTCATAAGTCAAGGACTATCTGTACTTTCCCATATTCAACTCCTTAATAGAGAGCAGGAAGTTAGACTCGTCTCTTGCAGATGCTCACTAAAATGTCCTCCTATCTTGCAGCTTCAAAATTGCAAGAATGGAATATATTTAACAATGTTTCTGTACTGAGGAGCAGAGAAAAGAAAGTGAAAGGGGCCCCACAAAACACTTATAAATCCTATAAATACCACTCTTACAGAAGCTGCAACTGTTTACACGGACTTTCATGAAATGGATGGAGCACAGCAAGTTGGTGCCAGCAAGTTCACATGAATTGTTCTCACAATATCATAGATGTAAAGATAGAGCTCCTTTTGTCTTCAAATGAACTCTTTAGACACTTAAAGGTTATTACATTTTTTTCAACTTTTTTTTCTGTTGGGTAAACATGCCCAAATATCATTTGATGTTCCTCGTAGAGCTCTGTTTTTCAGACACCTCACTGTATCGGTAGCCCCCTCTGACCTTGTTCTAATTTATCATGGTCTTTTTTGAACTCTGGTACCCAGCACTGACATAGCATTTCAAGTGCAGTCTCAACAGAGTAGAGGGGAAGAATTATTTCCCACAGTTCAAATAATTCTACTCTTCACATATACACTCTTTTAGTATTTGGAAAAACTGTGGCTTAAAAATTTAATTTAACCTGAAAACCTCAAAGCTGAAATCCTGTGTCTTTGCTGCATTCCACCCATCTCAGAAGGCCCCAAGCAAAGCAGTTCTTGTCAATATGTATGTGTGTGCATGTGGTAAATATATACATGTGTTTTTGAGCATATGTCAAGATATTTCTGTCCACAGGCTGTCATATGATTCATATGGACCTATTAAGCTGATATTTACTAGCCCCACATAACCTATCCTAATGATTTGATGATGCAAATACTGCACCCTAACTACTTGTATGAAACCTTTTTCATTTTTGCTCACTTAAAACTTGTAAAAGAAGGATATCTTAATAAAAGTAAAAAGATACTTTTTACTTCAGTGAAATATTTAATAACAAGTATTGAATGTTTGAGACCCCATAGATATACCTCAGGGAAGGATATGTTTTAAAAACTGCTAAATTATGCCTATTAATGGCTAAATAAATGAAACACACAAAAGGGGATTTAAAAATAGAGAGAAATCACTCACAAACTATTGAACTTACTTTATAGTAAGCAGTCATGTGGTAAAGCAATTCCTCCACTGAGCACTTTTCTTTAAAACCAGCTACATCAGGAACCGAAGAGATTTTTGTCGCTCTTACAGTTCTAAAATCTTCACTATAAATAGTGTCCTGGCAGTATACCACATTTTCCAGTTTAAACTGAGTGGCTATCATATTTTTTGCTTTCTCTTCTTGTGTGAGCTTTAAATCCTCAATATTGCTCTGCAGAACAAAAAACAGTTTAGCATATTTGTGGGATTGAGACAATTATATGGTTTCTTGAGTATTATTTTATGGATTTTCTTCTTCTTTTTGCTTGATTTACAGAGATTTTATTATAAGTTTTGTGGATCACTGTTAAGTCATTCAGAATTTATATGTGTTTCCCAATCCCCAATTTCTATTTAAATATGTTAAAATTCCCCAGCACAATGATTTTCAGGAGGTTTGAGAATTATAAGAATATCAATCCTATCCCTGATGGCTCATTTAAAGTGTACAGAGTTAGAGCACAATTTGAGTTTAGTAAAATTACAGTTTGGGGGGTTTCCCCACAGATCACAGTGCAATTTAGACTGTAGTTTTACTCTGCCCTGAAAAGAGAAAATAAGCCTAATTGGAGAGCAGATAACTCAAGATGGTGAACCAAATTACAATCTATAGGTCAATTCACACCATCTATCATGCCATCAATGCAAATTAACTGTGGTAGGATATAAACATAAGTTTTATTTTCCTTAGTCAGACATGCACGTACACAACTTCATCTGAATTGGACAGTTATCCAGGAAATCTTCCAAAATAATGAATTTATTACAGTGCTTTATTGTTTTCACTTTAAACTATATGGCTACACTTTTGGAAATTCATTGCAGGTACAGCTAATAATTACCCGAGCAACATTGGAGAGAGCACAGTAACTACTAAAGTGTTGGACAGCAAGTCGAAGAAACGTGTTCCGCACAAGTTCTAGAAAAAGAGAGGGAACAATTTAATGACAGGAGCAACTAAAAATATGGGCAGATCCCAATCACACAACATATAATAACTGAACATTCAGCACTTGGATATTGGGATTAAAGCCTTTACACCTCCTTTGAACTATGTAAATATGTATGTTAAAATCAGGAGGAGTGTGTGACATTAGGCATGAAACAAAGTTTCTTCTACAGATCTCTGTTTAAGTCCAATATAATGTCAAGCATGTGTGTGTTTCAGAGAGGGACCCTGGAAAAATCTGAACAATTTTGTACAACATAGTTTTAATATAATATTGATTTATTAACTATATATCTTACATTTTAAATTAAAAATAGAGTTGTGTCAGTGTTCCAATGTCATAACCAAGAACTGTCCACATTAAGCTATTGAGAGACCGCATCTGATACAAAATCTTGCAGCATGCTTAAAAACTAAATGAGGTTTTGAGCCTGTGTCTTCCCAATCCTAGGTCCAATCGTAACTAAAAGCAGCTCCATAATGGCCTGACAAGCCTGTCTCAATCTTCCTGACTGGTCACCTGACATTGGCTTAATCAAATTCCCAACTCAATTTCAAGGCAAGCAAAATCAGTAATATTTTGCTACCAGCTATTTTGGAACAGAAGTCATATGGCTTGTTGTATAATCAGAGATGAGTTTTGGGCATACTAGCAGGGGCAGGAACAACAGCCTTGCTTCTGGTCACTTGCTATCTTTCACCGCAGCTTTTTCTTTTTCAATATTTGCCCTCTGTGCTTGATATTGCCAGCAACATATTGTCTGGATTTCAATATATACATATTAATATAATACATATTACATATTAAGTTCCTTTCTCTCTACCTCATTTTTCTAGCCAATGCTAAAAGGTATCCCATGTTCTAAAATAAACTGAGTCTTCTTTCTCTTTCATTTTCAATGTCAATCTATCCATTTCTGCACACTCTTTTTTTAATTAACACTTCCTCTGTTGGTAGATCTTCATTTTTCCAATATTGAGCGAATACAATTCTTGCTGCAGTTAATATATGTTACCGTTTCTTCCTCGGGGTTCCAAACTTTCCCCTTCCATAAAAGTTCTATGATTATCATAAAACTCCATTGCCTTATGTGGCATATTCATTTTGTATCTTTTCCCATCCCAATTAATTAGGATCCCTTCTGGAATCAGCCATCTAAAATTCACTCCTTTTTCACTTAATTTTCTAGCCAAGAGTTGATATTCTCCTCATATATCTCTTATTCTCCTTGGAATCTGTTTCAGGAATATGATCTCTTTTTTTTGTATTGCAAAGGATCATCTCTCACTCTTCTCAAAATCTCATCTCTTATAGATCTTTTGACAAATCTAACATGTACCTCTCTAGGGACTTTATTTCTTCTCGCATAGCTTGAATTGACTCGAAAAATTTGATCTAACTCTCCTTTCGTTTCTTGTTTTCCGATTTCCAGTGCTTCAGCCAATAGCTCCGTTATCAGATCCGCGAGATCCTCTTCTTTATCCTCTATTATGTTTTGAAATCTTAGGAAATAAGATGCCTTTTCCATTTCCATAACTGCGATCGAGTCTTTCAATTCTCTATTAATCTGCATCAGCTTTTGGTTCTCATCTTTCAGTTCTGCCAACTTTTGATTGGTCTCTAGTGCCTTATCTTTTACTTTTTGAATTCTTTGTTCTTTTTTTGTGACCATCTGTTTAAAGGTTTTCTAGTTGAGAATCTATGTTGTTAATTTTTGGGTTCATTTTATCAAGATTGTTTTTTGTTTCTTCATAGTTTTTCCTTGTATCTTGTTTGTAAGAGGAGGTTGCTTCTTGAATCACTTGTAATGTCGCTTGCATCTCCTTCTGGAAATTGCTAGCTTTTTCTTGTTGGAGCATTGTTTCAACTGATCTCTGGTACACTTAAATTACTTAAATTCGGAACACACATTTTATTTCTGCAATCTCTTGTTTTATATACAGCAACACTGTTTTTCCTCATTGCAGTGTGCAAAAATAATAAATAATAATAAACTAGGCTTTATTGATTATTTGCCAGTTTCCCCATACTGACAGTTTTAATTATTGTCCATCCCATCTCAAGCCCAGTGCCCAGGACTTGATCATCTTCTCTATCTATATATCACAGAATAGAATTAAACACACTATTGTAGGTTTGGTATAGCTGTAAACTATGCTAAATAAAGAGTTATGCTTTTGTACAAAATCATAAAATACAGCATTCAAAAATGTTTTAACACATATCCAATTTAACACTGACTCTAAATCGTAGAGACTCAGTAACCCCTAATTCTTTATGGAATTTTCATCTGTTTTTCTTTTCCTTTTCAGGTACAGTTATAACTTAGATTAGGGTTATGGCTTTCTGCCTGACTGAGACAGTTTTTGGAAAGGGAGCATTTCTGAGGAATCACCTATTCACTTCAGATGACTGTTTTTAACTACAGGTAATCCTAGAGTTATGACCTAATGGAGCCTTCTCATTACAGTAAGAAGTCAAGACGGCTTTAAGTAAACCTTACTTAACTGGTCCCCATTCCTACTCTCCCCAATGCATTTGTTAAGTGGAATCTGGGGTGCCTGAGGGAAGGGGGAGGCCCTAATACAGCACAAGCACACCTGCTTCTGGCCTCCCAAGGCTTCCCCCCATTCACTGAGATACCTAAAGGTGAATGACCACACAGGCGTTGCAACAGATGTAACTTCGGAACTGGATTGTAAGTACCCTTTGGGGTTTTGTTGTAACTTTGAATCATCGCTAAATGATCTGTCATAACTCAAGGATTACCTATAGAGGCTCCAGACATGGTTGGTGTTCATTCTTAAAGACTCCAGTGCTCCTTTTACTGAAATCTTGAGATGAGCTATTCTTCCATTAGAACAAATACATAATAAAAGGGGGAGTTTGTAGGGCATTGCACCTTTCAGTGGAAACTTTCAGCATTGTTGGAACAGCCTTTCCATCAGTGCAACAGGGAGACCTTACGTAGCAGACATAGCCCATACACTGCCAACCCAAGAAGCACAAAAGCCCTTCATAAAATTATACATTTTTCTAGGACTTTGCATCATCATATTCAGTAGGGCTTATTTAAACCCTACATTTTTGTATTAAACAATGCACACCAAAAACTGCAACTACTGGGCAAAATATTCTTAGTCATTCAAAAAAGTATCTCATGCAAATGAGAACATGAAAATTAGAACTTACCTGCAACTTCTTTCAACACTACAATTGCTGGTTCCTCTAGTTGTTTAATTTGCCATTTTATGGCATCCTCAAAGACTTTGAAATTGACAAACCCTGGAAGTTCTCTGCCACGGGATATATGGTGAAAATTCCCAGTTCCTCCATATGTAAAATTATTTACTGCAAAATAAGTTTTTTACTTTATTTTACAAACACCTGTATCACTCACATGAACAATTCTAAAATCTAAAGTATCAGTGTAAAATATCATGTCTAAATAATACTAAACATCCCACAGATTCAACCCAAACAATCCAATGTATAAAAAGCAAAGCATATCCCACAGCAACTTCCCCATCTCTGAATATCAAATACCAATGAAAAAGAAGCCTCTATGTTGGTTTACGTAACTCCAGCACCAAAGGAATTAGGTAAGTCTCTGGACCAACACCTTCCACAAATTTCAGACAGCCCCAGGAAAGACTGTATGTCCTTTCTTACAGTTTACCTCACAGAACAAACACAGTAATTCTAAACGCCCTAATTTAACACAGCTGCATCATATAGGCTTTATAAGTGACTTGTACTTTCAATTGGGCTTAGAAGCAAAAATTGGTGTTATAATACAAGAGCTGGATTCATGGGCCAGCAATCTGGCCACAGTATTCTGTACCACAGCAATTTTTGGCAATTGTCTTGGAGAAGATTCTGGATGTTAATGTTCAAAAAGTATTTGGACAGTTAATAAAGCTCTGGCCATAATATGCACAGGATTTTAAAATTGCCTTCTTGTTTCTCTTATCGGCCATATTTCATCTATGGCTAGAAAGGGAATGGCCCTTTCTGCTTTTATTTATTGGTTTGTTTATGTATGTCGTACGGTATAACAGAATACATCATTAATGCATAAAATTCACAAAACAGTATATAAAATGTTTATCAAAATATAAAACACCACAACAGTGAATTACAGTGGTATCTTGGTACCTGTTGGTAATTCATTCTGGAAGATGCGACAAATACTAAAGCCGATGGGTGCCAAGAAAACCATGTGACCCATTATTTTTGCTGGAAGAAATAATGAGTCACGGGGAAGCCGACATCAGCAAGTTCTTCCTCGCACGTCAATTACTGGAAGGAAGATAACTACTGGGATAAGATTTCTGCTTCAAAACACATTGAATACTGAATTTGATGAATTCTGAAGCAGTTGAGTGCTGAGGTATGGCTGTATTTTAAAAATGTACAATACAAACGATGAATAAAATTAAATTATGTATGAGCAATTACTAGAGTGGCTAAGCCCATGGCTGCATAACTAAATCGTTTAGCTCAAGGGTCTTCAAACTTGGCCCTTTTATGACTTCTGGACTTCAACTCCCAGAATTCCTCAGCCAGCATGTACTGGCTGAGGAATTCTGGCAGTTGAAGTCCACAAGTCATAAAAGGGCCAAGTTTGAAGACCCCTGGTTTAGCTATTGTACAGCAGAATTCCTCAAGATGTAGTTCTTGCAGGAATATAGGGAACCTTCTGAGGGGGCAAAATACATTGCAATATGATATAAAGTTTGTGGGGCATTCCCAGTCAGTTAGGATTATCAACCAACCCCCACATTTGTAGTTCCAATATTGGTACCTTTTATTTTGTGTACGGTTGGGAACGTTCCAGTTTTTTCTTCTGATTGAGATATTTCTACAAGTAAAAAAACAAAAAGGTAGTGACTTACTTGACCCATGCTCATTTCCTAATTAGCACATGAATACTTCCATATAGTTTTCTTGGCAACTGCATGGAAATGTTTCTGACTTCCTTTTCTAGTGTGTATCCTGGAGTCTCTCATTCAAAAACAAACTAATCTGTTTAGTTCCAAAGCTGAGATAAAATTGGCTAGATATCACTATTTTTTGAGATATACAGTAGCTATAAAATTAGTCTCTTTTTCATGCCTTTCCCACTTATGCGTTTAACAGTTCTTTAAACTCAAAGCTGTGTATTCTTTTATGTAATTTTGGTTGCTCCCAGTAAAGGTTTGAGCTGTGATTTTTTCCCCCATGGATCAACACAGATGTAATTTCTTTATGTTTTTGTCTCTATAGACAAAAACATCAGAGTGGATTTTGTGAAAAAAAATATTATCCAAAGCCGTGTTCTGTTTTCAGTAGCTATTGAATTTGTATTAATTATGACCACTTATGAAAAACAAACACAATGGATTCAAACTTCTTGTCTGTGTATCCTGTGTATCCTGATCTTCAAATCTACCACCCAGCATTTTTTAAGCAGCTACAATTCCAATTTTCTTACTTGAAATCTTGCTAGATTTTGGGATACAGCATTCTTTTTCAAAATCTCAGGAACTTTACAAAATCATGTGAGATTGGTAATCTGAAAATTTTGAAAATTTAAATTTTAAATATTTTTTTAAAAATATTTAACTCGGGATCTCTTGATGCCACCTATACAATTATATGTGCCATGAAGCCCTGAATTATGTTTTGAGTGACACTATAGTGGCACATATAAGAAAAATATTTGGGAATCACTGCTTTAGAAAGTCTGTAAAATAAAGAATAACTTTGTAATCTTTCCAGTTCGTATCTATCAAGAATTGGGTCCAAGCAAAAGGTCTATGATCCAAGATTGCTCTAAGTGAAAGGGATTTATGTTCCATGGAAAATGGCTATAGGCTGCAGATCCTCTATACGGAACCTCTCATACTCATTGTGGGAGTAAGAATTAGAAACTTATAAGTTAAGGGCTTTTGCAAATGACTTGTATTGGTTTTGGAAGATTCTTTAGAGGGCATTGAAATAGGAATGGGCAAATTAAAAGAATTTGGTGTTTTAGCAGGGTTCAAGATTAATAAATAGATCTTAACAAAAATAGGAATAGAGAAGATCAAACAGAATAAAAAGGGTTTTAAGATTGAGTAGTAGATAAACATATGGGTATCATTATGGATAAGAACTCTTTGTTATTTCAAAATAATTAAAACATGGAATGAAGTTAAGAAAGACATGGTTAAGGGGGGACAAATAAAAATGAATGGCTTGCCTAAAATGGTATTGTTTTTTCTGACAATATCTGTTTTGATTACTGAAGGACAGCTTAAGCCAGTGATGGCGAATCTTTTAGAAACCGAGTGCCCAAACTGAAACCCAAAATCCACTTATGTATCATTGGGTGCTGGGTGGGTGTGGCCCATTAGGTGGGTGTGACTGTGGTGGTAACGGCAGACTGGGTGGCACTAAAAAGTTCAATCAATCAATTCCAACTTTGCAAGATTTTTTTTTCCGCGAGAAGCCGAAATTGATTGACTGATTGAACCTTTTTTTTCCACACAGCAGTGGACTAAAGCGAAAAGGTTTTATAAAACCAGCTGAAGGCCTAGGAGTGGGGTGATGGTGCGTGTGCCCACATAGAGGGCTCTGCATGCCACCTGTGGCACCCATGCCATAGATTCACCACTACGGGTTTAAGCAATAGCAGGACATGTCTAAATTTGTGTGGCAGGAAAAACACATAAAATATAAGGCGTTAAAAGATGCAAAGTAAAGAGGATTGGGTTTTTAATCTTCCTTCTTACAGATTTTCAGTAACACCTATACAAAAGTTATATAGAGAATCTCTCATATTAACAAACCTACCTGAATGTGTAACAATAAAGCATATCCAGAACTGAAGCTTCTCATGTTGAAACTAAGCACCCACTAACAGAAAAACACATAACTGAATTGAGTTTACCTATAGCGTTATCATTAATTGTATCTTGCCATTGATTAAATGCCTGTCGAATATCTGTAATTGTTCTTTTGCTCTTTGAATATTTTATATCCTCTTCTCCATGTACAATTTTTAAGAGGTCCTTATTAAAATCATTGATTTTCTGGGGGAAAAATACAAAATAATATAATTTTAAAAATAAGATTACCAGCTAAAATGATAATACAAACTACATGTTCCAGAAGGATAGTTACTCTCCATGCAATTTCCAGGAACCTCTAAATATAAAAACCTGGGTATAACATTCTGAAAGATCAGTCCTGAAGGAATTGGAATAGCTGGAGAAGTCCCAGATGCTTTGCTTTAAGGCTGGCAAGCAGATAAGTGGTGATTGGAGGTAAGTTGGGGGTTTGTGAGCACTGCTGAGGGTAGAGGGTTGTGGTTTTTTTTTTTCATTTTTAGCACTAACTTTTGTATTTATGATTTTATTATGCTTCAAAAACATCAATAAAAGGAAACAAGCAAAAAAAAAGAAAGTAGAAAAAAGAATCAGGGAGCAAGCAAAATAAAACTGAAAAAAAAGAAAAAGAAAAAATGGCTTTGAACCTTTTTTCGTACGAATATACAGTAGATAAAAAACATGCCCAACTTATATCCCCAAAACTAAGAATGTCTACCTTACTTTTATAATTCCATATAATTCTAATTATCAAATCCCAAAAACAAAATTGCATTTGATTTTCTTGCAAAAAAGTCAAAGTGGCTTCATTAGCAATTCATCACTGTCTCTTACAGCGCAACCAGATACGTCTTCATTTCACATTATACCACATTTTCTATCATCTCTAAATCCCCAGCTCTCTTTATTAATCATCAAAGAGGAATAAGAAGTCACCTCCCTGTCATTCAACTCATCAGCTAATTGGGGAAACCTCCATTTCCATAATATGTTCATGAATGACAGTCCGGAGGGCAGGATTGATTACATGTTTCCTCCTTAAATCTGGAAGAAGAAAAAGCCACCCAACCCCGCCAGTTTATTGCTTCTGGTGAGAAAAATGGTGATTTAGCCATCACCAAAGGGAAGCAGTATCCAACATTTTTAGCTTATCCTTTAATTTCTTTTTTTCCCTTCCTTCCTCTATATTAGTATTAGTTTTTTAAATCTTCTTCCCGTATTTGGGCAGACATGGTGCATAAAAAACAAAACAAAAAAAACCACTCAAGACAATCTCCTTCCCTGATACAGCTGACAAAGTGAGAAAGAGCCTGTGGCCTAGGGGTCAACACAGCTGCCTAATGTGCAAGCAGCCCAGGTTCGAATCTCAGAAGGGTATGGCTGGCTGATGAGAGCCAATTAGCTCAAAATAGCTATACCATTTTGGATTCCAAAATGTCTTTTTTATGGACAATTATTGTCAAAGTTTATGAAATCTTTCAGAAAAGAGTAAAGTGCAGAATAAAGAAGAGTAAATGCAGATGGACAAGAATAAGCAGCCATTTTGCAGTTCTTTAATTGTGGTTTGGTCTTGTTTCCCTGTACTCAGCTGTTACTAATTCCTAGGTTCCATTACCCAATTGACCCTCCCAAATCCTATCACCCTTCAAAGCCAAGAGCAAACCAATGACAGAAAATAAATATGCAAGTGTTGTGAGTCCTTGCCTGCCAGCCGATCCAGCAGCAGAGTCAGATGAATCTGCTGGGTTCATATGAGAGTCTGTGGAAGGCTCTGAGGAGCAAGAAGACAGAGCTAGATGTGACCCTGGGCTCATCTACTCACGCTCAGGCAGAGAGACAGCTGGGTTTGGGGACTGAACTGAGTGAAGAGAAGGAACAGTTGGGGCCTGTTCCAGATGTGCGGATGCGCAGAGAGGAGAGGCATGCAGGAAAACGGAGGGCGGTGGGGCGACTCTCCAGGAAAAGTAAAAGACTCTATGAAGCCATGCCCTGGCAGAACTATGAAGAGGAGAGGCGTGGGAGGGTCTTGTTGTTGAAGGCAACCATTCATGCTACAGCTTCATGCTTCTATTGTTGGATTTCTTGCCTCAGGATTCTTGGATATTTAATCAGGTTTATTGGATTTCTGTATGTTTGAGTGACTTGAACCTTGAACTTTCCTGCTGAGAACTCAGAGACTGATCTTATTTGTTTCTACAGCTAAAGGACTGGTTGGAGTTTGTTCCATAAGAGCTGTGTCAAAATAAAAGGGGTTTATTTTCTTACAAAGTCCTGCCTTGTTCCATGCACAGGGGTTTTCCTCGCAAGTAAGCAGTTGAGCAGTACTCATGTAGGCTAGGAGAGAACAGCAAGTATTTCAGTCTGCCCAATATAGCGACAAGCTCCCGATGATATAGTTGTGTATTTTGGCCATTTTGTACACATAACACAACAGTAAGCGCCTAGCAACAATACTGATTAACAAGGATACAATTTGTTTCATGACTGGGTTAGGTACAAACTCACATCTGCCTTTATTTTTTAATATATAATTAATCTTACTTGCACAAAAAAATATTTCTTGTCTTCTAAGGATTCAGGAACACCTTCACCATACTTCTGAAGTTTTTTATGAATTACCTCAAGGCTGTTTTCTATTTGCTCTTCTAAAGTTGGCAGTGATTTCTGCAACAAAAACAAAATTAACTAAAGGAAAGGTGTAAAACTGTAATCCTATGCAAGTTCAGAAATTTTAAATATTGTGGATTGACAGAAACATTTATCTGACATTTTGAAGTAGGAAGCTACCAATTTTAGCAGCTGCCAAGCAATATAACAATATTCACACACACATACATACACAAAGCCTGGTCCTAGGAATCTTTCTTACAGTATGAATTAGATGCCTAAGGATAGAAATATGCATGCATATATAGTCATAATGTATTGTCTTAGGAGTGCAGTTTGAGTAGGATGCAAATTTGCCCACCAAATGCTTCATCCTTTCTACAGAGAGCTAATTGGGATTCTGATACATGCATCTCAGTACAGGACAATCAGAATCATGGTGTGAAATTGCACATGTAACACAATGATATCTTTCCTCTTCAACCTTGAATGAATTGAGAGTTCCTTACCTGAATGTGTTCAGTGAGCTCTTGTGTAAGCTTTTCTGCCAGAAGTGGGATGGTAGCTCTGCCTTCTTCCAAAAGAAGACTGGAGGAGATCAGAGTGAGTAAAATTCAAGAGTTACTCAATAATATTGAAGTTATCATTTGTATCATCTCAGCGTTCCTCAATGTCTTTCAGATGGACTGGGATTATATGCTCTGTAGGTTAAGCCGTGAGCTCAAATAATTTGGTGGTAATTTGAAACGAAGTAATTTGAGCATCATTCACTAACTAGAAGTGCTAAGCGCATGAGAGAAAAATATCTTTGCCCAGTTCACAGATGAAACTTCATCGGTCTTTAGTTTATATGCAGGCATATTCATAGAGACACTCACAAACTATGATGTACAAAGGAACACATTTTGCAAAACAATGTTCAGGAATTATTTCTAAATACTACCTGAAAAACTTGTGCTCTTCAAAAAATTCTCTCTCTTTCTTGATTGCATCCCCCAAGCTCAGTTTATTAGTGAGGTCACTTTGCCCACGACATTTAACAATCATGTATCCTTTTTTCAGAGGCACTCTTTGATTCCGGACAATATCAATGGTCTCATCCTCAGTTCCTTCGTCAATCAAATCAGGCTTTGTTAGAATACCTATGAAATAATTGACGTAAAAGAAAGACACGCTCATTTACTTGAGAAAGGCTGGAACTTAATCCAATGAAGGCCACTTCATTTCTGAATCACATTCAGTCTGGAAAAATGAGTCTCCCTAAACATGCACACCCACCAAGTAGCTATTTATCTCTCCTCACTGCTGGGGTTGAAGAAGTGGGCTTTCAAGTAGCTTTAAGCTTTACGGGCTGTAAAGCACCATTTCTGAGGCCATTATGACTTTGAATGGTCGTTAAATGACTAGCTGTAAGTCAAGGACTTCCTGTATGCAGAGATGTTGAAAATTAACAAGGGGTTCACAAACTTTTAAGCACCACAGTAGTTTTGCCCTCTAGAAATACCTGCTGTTATCCTTTCACAACTCAAAAGTAAATGGTTGTTAAGTGAATCTGGTTTCCCCCATTGACTTTGCATGTTGGAGGCTGGCTGGGATGGTTGCAAATACCAATCATATGACCCCAAGACACTGCAACTGTTGTAAATAGATGCCAGTTGACAAATGTCTGAATTTTGATCACATGATTGCACGGACACTGAAGTAGTCATAAATGTGGGAACTGGTCACAAGTCATCCTTTTCAATGCTGTCGTAACTTCTTGCACTACTCAGAAAATAGCTACCCGTGTAGCAGCACAAAGTAAGGGGGAGGCAGGTTTGCTCATATAACACCTTTGTTCTGTTGGCTGCACTGACCTCTATTTTCTTTCCAGATGCAATTCAAGATGCTGGTTATTACCTTTAGCACCCTATATTGCACAGGGCCAGGTTATCTGGAAGGCCACCTTTCCCTAATGATATCTATCTGTTCTACCAGGTCAAATAGGGTAGGCATGCTCCTAATCCCTTCCCATAAATATTGCCATCTTGTGGGAGCTTGGAAGTGTATCTTTCCCATGGCAGTGCTGGGATAAGAGGAGGTGACTGCATATCAGAGATATGACTGAGCGCCAGTTTTTTTGTTGTTTTTAATGTGTTTAGTTTTTATAATTTTAATATGCTTTTGTGCTGTTTTAACCTTTAATTGGGAGGCACCCAGAACTGGTTATAAGGAGGCAGCTATATAAATGTTTTAAACAGATAAATAAAAAATGAACTTCAAACATTCACTAAACAAATGAATGCAATTTCAGGATAATCTGTGTGAGAATATTTGAAATATACAACTGCATTAATAACCAGAAATTTAATAAAATCAGGCTTCCGACAACTTTTTTTTTTTAAAAAAAGCTTTACATTTTTAATAAAAAATCATTTACAATAGTATCCTATTCCGTGAGCAGAAAAAAATCTTTTAACGATCTCATTAACTTACCAAGCGTTCTCTCTCCTTCGGGATCTACTGTTTGAGCCATTTTCAATGCCTCTGTAGTAGCAATATCAACATTACTTGGAACCACAACCAAATTTATGGTTTCTTGTTTGGTAATATAACTTTGAATTAATTTCATGATCTGTAATTAAATTGTATTTTATGTCAGGCATGGGTAGAGGATAAAATTATTTTCAAAGAAGCTGGAAAGAACAAATAATTTATTCTATCAAGTCTACCATAACTATATATAAAATTTCAGTACTGTAATGTATAGTACATAATCTGCAACTTACTTTAATCCCTACCTCACCCCCAAATTCTGTTTTACAGATGCTGCTTCTATGTGGAGCATTCAAAATCTATGAAGGAGCAACAATGTGCCTGTCCATTTTATCCAGATATCGAGTATCCTCTGCCCAGAGCCTTATATATCAAGAGCAGGAAGCCTAAGCAGGGAGACACTGTAGGGTTCCATACATCTGGATATCATGATTACTAGGTTGGAGATATTATTCAGTTCCACTGGCATTCCAAGATGCATTAAATAGACAGCATGAACTCAACAGAATTTCTGGAATCCATTTATGGAATAAAGATCAACTAAAGGAAAGATAAATTCTATAGATATAGTAGTCCTCGCTTAGCGACAATTGGGACAGGCAACTCGGTCATTAAGTGCCACCATCACTAAGCAGAAACTCATGTGATCACAATCACCTTAATCCTGATCTGGTCATTAAGTGAAGTGCCACAGTCACCAAGTGAAACATCTCATGAACACAATTATTTTACTTCTGCATCTCTGTTAACTCTGCTTGTCATAAGCCAATTGCAAAGCACACAAATGGTGATCACGTAACTGCAGGATGCTGCAATAAATGTATCTGTAGGAAAGCCATGTTTTACACCATTGTAACTTCAAATGGTCACTAAATGAGGCAGTCATTAATGGAGGACCAACTGCACATCTCCCTCCTGAAATGTATAAAGATCTTTCCTAGCAAAAAGGAGCAGTAAACAGTTGATAATTATTCAGTTGACAATCAGATACCTATCACTCTACAAAATCTTTTTTGTTTTACCTGATGGCCAATGTCTTGTGGTTGATTACCCACTGCCACTCTTGTAATTCCTGGAAGATCAATTAAGGTGAGATCTGGAACATCTGGAGAACTAATTTCCAGGGTAATTAATTTGTTACTAATACTCAGTCCTTCGCCAGCTATTGCATTCTGGGCTATATTGTGTGAGGTAAAACAAAAACAGCAGACTCAGTTATAGGAAACTCCTTATACAGAGCAGTTTTATCAACCCATTTGTTTTAAAAGACCTCTGAAGAAAACAGACAAGCATATATTTTTAAACAGGCTTGTTTCCTGCAATAGGAATACAATTTGAAATTTCTAACAGCAGCAAACATGATTGAATATTTAGATTAAAAATCAAGGGAATAAAAAATCAAATATAAAATACATGTTTTGAAGCGAAACTACTATAAACTACTAGTGTAGACCTTCATTTTACTTCTATCCTTCACTACAATTACAGAACTATTGTAAGCTAGAATTCTATCTATACTGATCATTTTAAGGAAAACAAAACCCCTTATTATTGTCACTGAATGTTACCTCTCCTAACTGCAACTTCCACCTCTGATGGATCTTTCAGTTCCACCTCTGTTTCCAGATACATCATTTTCCCCTTCCATTCCTTTGTATTGTTTTTTTTTTTCATCTTGAGCTCCAAGGGGCATCTGGTAACAATTCCTGCAATGTTAAAACATTTTTCTTAATTTTATAGATATCTATTTTATTAGATATTTAACAACATAATCAAGAAGAGAAGCAGAAAGAAAAATAAGAAGTAAATACCGTACTGTCTATTTCTTGGTTTCTGGGTTGTTTTTTTGCATAGTTTAAAAAAAATTAATTTGCAAAGTTTTAAAATTTTAAGCCTACTTTAATTTTTAAAATTTAAATCTATTCTTAATGCCACTCAACTATGTGCTAGGTAGTAACTGTCTTTGGATATGATTACAGGGTTGTTGTTTTTATACACACAGAAGCCATCCAGTTTGGAAAATTAGCATATACTGATTGGATTCAGTTGAAGCCAATCTGAATATAAGAAGGAAAATAAGTAAAGAATGGCCTGATTTACATGTTTTGATTAGAAAAATATGGAAGTTCACATTTGTTCTAGGCTCCTGAAATTCAGAAAGCTAACTGAGCACCTCTCAAAAGCTTCATTCCAATTGAAAACCTGTCTATGACAGATGGTTCTCAAGACGAAATATAAACCCCATTCCCCTGGTACAATAATAAGACTTGTAGACCAACATATCTGAATTGTACCGGCTGGGGAAATCTGTTTGATATTCAAAGAAGAAAAGCTTTGGGAAAATTCTCACCACTGCCTCTAGGAAGAGCAACTCCAGACAAGGCCTCTAGAACTGAACTTTTTCCAGAGCTCTGATCTCCAATCACAGCAATTGCTGGCAACGCCAAGTCCTTTTCCACTCCAAGGGCCCTCAGTGAATCAATGAGGTCAATACAGGGGCGGACCTTCTCTTCATATTGGCTGCACAAATTATTTTCTGCCTCCTAAGGAAACAAAACAAAATACCAAGTTGCCTCCTCTACTGATCTTGGAATTAACTCTTTCTTAATTTGGAAATCTCATCCCAAATGAGTTGGAATTGTACTTCCCATGAAAAAAGAACATAGGTACAGATAGTCCTCGCATTCTGACTGCCTTGGGCAACAACTTTTCAAAGTTACGGCAGTGGAAAAAAGAACACAACTTTGGGGCCGATCTTTGCATTTACCATCGTTGCAGCATGATGTGATTGTCATCACTGGCTTATGATAAGCATAGTTAATAGAGAAGGTATAAATAAAAGCATGTCATGATCATGTGATTTTTCACTTAACAACCACAGTCCTTCACTTAATCACCCAAGGGGAAATAAGTCTATCATGGTCATGTGATTTTCCACTTAGTGCCAAGTTTTCAGCCCCAATTGTGGTTGCTAAACATTGGCTACTTGTATAGCTTTGCTGTTTTTAGTGTTTTAGGGGTATTATCCAAAATACGATTTTATACATATGTACATACATATATATTAAAGTAGCATGTAGACCTACAGTGAGGGAAAAAAGTATTTGATCCCCTGCTGATTTTGGATGTTTGCCCACTGACAAAGAAACGATCAGTCTATAATTTTAATGGTAGGTTCATTTTAACAGTGAAAGACAGAATTAAGAAAAAAAAAAAATCAGAAAAACGCATTTCAAAAAAGTTATAAATTGATTTGCATTTTAATAAGTAAAATAAGTATTTGATCCCGTATCAATCAGCAAGATTTCTGGCTCTCAGGTGTCTTTTATACAGGTAACGAGTGGATATTAGGAGCACTCTCTTAAAGGGAGAGCTCCTAATCTCAGCTTATTACCTGTATAAAAGACATCGATCGGAGACTTCCGGTGGCAGGCGCCTTCGCTGGACGCAGCTGTTTGCTGCTCCCGCCTGTTTCTGCGTAAAAGCCGTTTTGACAGCCTGCATCAGCTGTCAAACGGCTTGATACCTTTCCCCTGGGCATAGGGGGAAAGGTGAGCTGCCCGAGGTAGGAGTTGAGTTCCCGAGTCGTCCCTTGTGGACGATGTAGGTGAGNCGATGATTTGATACTTTTCAGCAAGAAGTGAAAGTGATTTCCGGTTTGAACTTTTGTTATTTCTAACCGGCGCATTACATGCTTTGGCTGAATTTTTTATAAGACTTTTTAACAAATTGGATTATATTGTAAACATGGCTTCGAAAAAGACTGCGCCCTCGATCGTAAAATACACATCTTCGATGGTTCAGACACCTCAATCAACTTCAAAAACTACCCACTTGTCACACCCTCCATCTTCGTCTCCACCGCCCTCTGGTAAAGAAATGCAGGATTTGATGGCCGCAACTATTAAGCAAATGACTGAGATGTTTCAAGAAATGGATGTTAAAATGCAAAATAGATTTGACCAATTATCACAGAAGCAAGATGATTTGGCACAGAAGCAAGATGATTTGGCACAGAAGCAAGATGATTATTGTTCTAACGTGGCAGTTGCCTTTAAAGGTTTGGCGGATTATGTTGATGCAATAGCAGAAAGGGTGGAGCAGAATGAGCAAAAAGCAGAAGGAAGTGACCAGAGATTTGAACTTGTAGAGGAGGGTCTGGAAAACGTTAGAAGTGATGTGCTGATCGCCCAATTTCGGGACATGGAATTTGCAATTCGGATTCGTGGGTTAGCTGAAGATTCAAAGGAGAACTTAAGACAAGTAATTGCAGATGCACTTGGGGATGCCTTATCGTGCGGCCAGGAAATTTATTTTGAAATAGAGCGTGTGTTCAGGGTAAACTCCTGGATTGCAAAGCAAAAGAATTTACCAAGAGATATTGTGATATATTTTACAAGAAAGTCTAGACGCAATGAAATAATGCAGCTCTTTTATCAACAGAGATTTAAAATTTTGAATCAAGACATTATTCTCTTAAAGGAAATTCCAGCAAAAATACTTAGAGCGCGCAGAGATTATGCCTTTTTGACACAGGAGCTGAAGCTCAGACAAATACATTTTAGATGGGATATACCTGTGGGCATAATTGTAACGATAAATGGCAAACGCTATAGGATTAATTCGATTAGCAACGCTAAAGACTTCATGGCGTCTGTTCTACAATCAGAACGCCCACCTACACCTCAGAGGGTTGATGTGCCTGAGCAGATGATTGTGGATTTTCCTTCTGCCTCGGTTCAAGATCTAGATGAAAGCTCAAAAACTAATGGAAAGGAACAGAGAATTACGCGCGCAGCTCATAGACGTAAAGAAAAGGAAAGACAGATGACAGCTCGACCACCAGCTGATAGCCCTCCAGCTGATTGTCAAATACCGGTTATTTCGCAGCCAGTAGGCGGCGCTCGTCCTAAGGTCTTTGTGAAATCATATGCGGCTACTCTCGTCAGTGGAATAAATCCTCCTAATGTGTAAGTTAACATCATGGAATGTAGGGGGGCTCAACGTTCCCCATAAAAGACGCAAGATTTTTCATTACTTAAGACATTTTAATAATGACATTATATGTTTACAAGAGACTCATATTGTGGCCAAAGATCAAAAACTATTATTGAACTCTAAGTTTGGAGAGCTGTTTGCTGCATCTGCCTTAAAAAAGAGAGCGGGGGTTGCAATGTATATTAAAAGTCATCTTTCACCTGTTTTAAAAGATGCTGATAAAGAAGGAAGATACTTATTTGTGGAAATAAACTTAAATGGAAGAAAGTGCTTAATAATAGGGGTTTATGCACCCAATCAACCTGTAGCTCAAAAGCAATTTTATAGACATTTACATCAGAAAATTGTGGCAATGGACTATAACTCTTTGATTGTTATGGGAGATTGGAATGGCGTTCTGGATACGTTAAAAGATAAAAAAACAACTTCTAAGGATGTAACCCTTTCCAGATTACCTAAGTCCTTTTTTGCTATGAAAGATAACTTAGAATTAATGGATGTCTGGAGGTCACAACACATCAATGAACGTGATTTTACCTTTTTTTCTCATAGACATGATTCTTTTTCAAGGATTGATTTTGTTCTGACATCGACTGACTTACTTTTAGAATGTAACAAAACCAAAATTTTTCCTAGAACCTTGTCTGATCACAGTATGGTTTGGATGGAGATTGGTCAAAAAATAAAGAGGAAATCTTGGAGAATAAATGAAAATTTGTTTAACTATGAGGATAAGGTTAAGGCTTTGAAGATAGCTATGGAAGAGTTCTTTCAACTTAATATGCATAAGGAAACTTCTATAAATATTGTTTGGGATGCTGGAAAGGCCTATTTAAGAGGAATACTAATTGCTATGAATAATGCCTACAAACGTAAGCAAACTCAGACTAGATTTAACTTGGAAAAAGAAATTGGGATGAAGGAAAAACTATTATTACAACGACCAACAGATATTAACTTAAAAAATTCTATTAAAATGCTTAAAGATCAATTTAATTTATTAATTGCAGATCAGGTGGCCACCAACTTGAAGTATATTAAACATAATACATTTGCTAACGCAAATAAACCTGGAAGGTGGTTGGCCTACCAAATACGTAAAAGACAGAAAGCGAGACTTATATCTAAAGTTTTGGTCAAAGAGCGTGAAATTCATCAACAGGAAATGATTAAAAAGGCATTTACTGAATTTTATTCGCATTTGTACTCATCAGAAACTATAAATAGTAAGGATATTGATAAATATTTACAATCTTCACCCATAT